GTCTGACCTTGCCGTGTCCCCTCCAGCTCAGCAGCACAACTGTTCTGAGAGCTTCGGACAGAAACTGTAGGGCCCACTCTAACTCCTGCCCTGTCCTGCCTGTCCCTAGAAGGATGATGTTCTAATCTTTCCTGACATTTCCCATCTCAGAAGTCTCTCTAGGTGACTTGGAAAAGTGGAAATAGTGATAGGAAGAAAAGAGAGACTCAGTGTCTGGTGGGTTTGTGCAGAGGTTCGCTTACCTTCCTCATGTTTCTCTTTTTCCTATTTGATGGTAACGATCCATCCTTCTGGAGACAGGGGAGTAATAGAAGGAAGAGCCCCACCCCACCCAGGAAGGCAAGGGTGATCTCGACCACCCAAGCAGTGGAGCTGGGGCTCAGCCATGGGGCACTATCGCTCTTCAGAGTGAAGAGAAGATTCTCCATCTTCTGAATCGCAGTGCTGCCCTCAAGCAACTGAGCCCTGGACGTTCCGTTTGGTTGTACAGGCCAGGCCTGCATCACAAAGCTGTGGCCTCATCACAAAGGGCACCTGGGGGCGTGGGAGAGGTAAAAAGAGAAAGAGGCTCAACCACAGCCCCTCCCCCACCTCCCAGCTTAACAGGTCCCTCCATCCTCTTGGGCTTCTAGATCCCTCCTTCCAACTCTACCTGCTCCACCTGNCCTGTTACATCCATCAGTGAGTTTTTAATTTGTCATTGTACTTTTCAGTGGCAAAATTTCTTTTCTTTTTTTTTTTTTTTTGTCTAGTATCTTTTTCCGTGTCCGGCAACGGATCGCAACCCTCGGTGTTGCTCCCGCGCCTCGCTCAGCCAGTGAGCGGGAACCGGTCTGTATGTGGGATCCGAACCCTCGGGCGCGAGCACCGCCGCGCTTCCCAAGCGGCGCACTATCCAGTGCGCCACCGGGCCGGCCCAAAATTTCTATTTTTTAAAATAAATAATTCCTAGCTCTTTATTGGGTTTCTGAGTTTGTTCCGTCATTGTCATTACACTTTCCTTGAGTTCTTTAAGTATGGTTTCCTTCCTTTCACTTGCTACATTGCAGTCCTTGCTAAATACAAACTCTGGGTACACTTTTTTTTTTGGTCCTTTTTGAGACCGGCCGCACTGCGCTCAGCCAGTGAGCGCTGTCAGCGCACCAGTCATCCCTATATAGGATCTGAACCCGCGGTGGGAGCGCTGCTGTACTCCCAGTGCTGCACTCTCCCAAGTGCGCCATGGGCTCGGCCCAAAATTTCTATTTTTTTAAATAAATAAGTCCTATCTCTTTATTGGGTTTCTGAGTTTGTTCAGTCATTGTCATTACACTTTCCTTGAGTTCTTTAAGTATGGTTTCCTTCCTTTCACTCGCTACATTGCAGTCTTTGCTAAATACAAACTCTGGGTACACTTAAAGACAGTTTCTGTTAACTGTTTTGTTTTTTCCCACTTCCTTGTTTCTTTTCATGTTTTGTGCCTTCTCATTAAACACTGGATATATTCAATAATATATTGTAGCAATTCTGCATTCTGATTTTTACCTTCTGAGAGTTGTTATTACTGTTTTGTTTGTTTAGTAATTTGCATGTAGTAAATCTGTGAATTCTATTAGCAATATATAGCCACAGGGGTCTCTGCTCAAATTTTTGTCTTTTTTTCTTATTACTCATGACTGCCCAGGAATTAATCCTTTATCTACATGCATGGTAGTCGGTCAACAGCTGTCTGAATTTGCGCACAGACACCTTGAATCAGTGAATCTGCCACTATTTGCTGATNAATTGTTCCTATGTGTAGTTCAGTAGTTTTCATGAATCATCACTTCTCAGTTGCTTGTGACATTTTGGTCAGGTAGTAGAATACTGAAATTTTTGCTTTCGACAATTTTGTCCAGCTTTATACTTTCTCTTTGGGAAGAGAATTTGTTGATATCTTTCATCCCATCATCCAAAACTAGTGTTCACTGCGGGTACCCCATCCATATATATTTTTTTTCTAATAGACTTTCTTTTTTAGAGCAGTTTCAGGTTCACAGCAAAATTGAGCAGTAAGGACAGCGTTTCCATTTACTTTCTGTCCCCCTCCCACCCCACCTCCGTGTCTGTTGACTTCCTACAGGAGAGTATTACATTTTTTACAATTGATGAACCTGCATTGAT